TAAAGCCGGATGCACACATGCGGCGCGGCAAGGAAAAGCGGCAGAATGACGTCACTTTTTCTCGCCGCAGAAGTCGATTTTGTGCCGCTTTTCTCGTGCCGCAAAAGTTGGTTGAATTCTATCTTTTGCGGCAACGCCGCCAAGACGCGTTTCTATCAGCCAATAACAGTTTGTCTCGTAGTCACGTGAGAAAATACAATCACGTGGTGTTTTAATGGCGGAAAGTTCGAGGCGGTTAACCGAGATAATTAAAATCAGAATAAAGAGGAAAGGATAACAAATTTAAAACAAATTCTACACAAATAATCATATATAATTTAATTCAAAAAACAAAACAACCGAATCTTACTCGAAATAGTATTCTTTATCTAGAGATCTTGATCCACGAATAAGTCTATTTTGTACACCAGTTCTTTCTCGATCCAAAAAAGTATCTCTAATTCAAATCTTCGACAAAATCTTTTAGCTAAATAAAGCGAGTCATACAAAACAAAATTTGTAAACATGTAAATAGGGACAGTGTGTAAACACGTGGATATCGTTCGCCATCTTGAATACTGAACGCATGCGCCGAAATGTAAGCGGATTGCCGCTTGTGTGGTTGTGCTGCCGCGCGGCGAAGATGCGTTTGTGTCACTGCTTTTCCTTGCCGCGCCGCATGTGTGCATCCTGCTTTACTGTAGACCTGTTTACGCCATATTGCCCAGCAACATTAGGAATCTTCTGCTCACTCTCTACATTTTCTATTATACTCTCAACTTTCGGAAAGAAAACCAGACGCAAAACTTAACGAGTGCCTATCCGACAGTCTCGCGAATACACAAAAAAATTGTTTTGTCAGAAAAATAAAAGGCTGGAATTACAAGGGAATATTTCAAAGTTGGGAAGAATAGTATCCGATCTGTATATACCGGATTGAGCGCTGATGTCGACGTCTCCCGCGCTCCAAAACGTTTCGAATTGTTGCCCGAAGACAAGGGAAGACCAATCGGTATTCACTATTTTACGTCCCTTATTTTTGTGTTTGTTCTGTGGGGTGTTCGTTATCGGATCATGTGTTCGTTGTCCGAACATAAAAATCCATCGCGAAAGTGTTCGTTATCCGATCTGTTCGTTAACCGATTACCCACTGTATAAACTATGCATATTTACTAATTACATTTTCTATATTCTTTTTATTCTATCAGTTATTTACTTCTGAATAAAGTGACCAGACCTTCCGAATAAGGCAGACAGTCCAGCTCAGTTATAAAAGAGTGTATTTTGTTAATTATCTGAGTTAAAAAAAGCCAGTTAAAAGAAACAATTAGGTCTACTGTAACTGTTCATTGTGGCTATCACTATAGATCGTTATTCTCTAAATCAGAGTGTATTTTGTGAACAACCACTAAACGTTTTACTTAACACATGGATATTACTGATGAGTGACCCACTTAACATTTCAGGATCTGGTCACTTTATTTATGATTAAAGAATAATAACATAAATCATGTATTGTTACTGCCATTTAATAATTTATACAAACATGAAATTTGTTATTCGTTCGTAAAATTTTAATTATTCTCAATTGTTATAATTTTCAGATGGTACTTAATTCCCTCCACAAATACAAAAGAAAAATCGTAATAGAGGAAATACGACCGGGATGTGCTAACAGAGCAGTAGCTACGATTGATTTTCCCATTACTGCATTTTATGCTGTTACTGCATACCAAAGTGATGAGGTAAAAAAACTAATCGGTGAAAACTAGTGATGTAACGAATAGTATATTCGGCCTCAGGCCGAATACCGAATATTCGGCCAGGAGTGTGGCCGAATAGCCGAATATTCGGCCAGGAGTGTGGCCGAATAGCCGAATATTCGGCCAAACTATTCGGCTTGATTAACACACATACGAAAATTAGCGTGCAAATCGCATTATATGGCAAGGATCGCGCACCCTGCTCTCTATTGGCCCGCTGTCACAACACTTCTTTAATCGCATTAATTCTTGACAGTTGTGTTATGAGCGTCATGACAGTATGTTATAAGTGATGATATCAAATGTGGATAACAACGAAATGACCTACACCTGTAAATAGAGAGGTTGCGGCCGAAGTTTTCAACGCGAAAACGTGTACGTCGGACGTTCAGCGCTGCCTTCCTGTAAACCTAGAAGTTTGACAATGGTGTTTGGAACGTTGAGCATGATTCCACTGACGTTCCAAACGCCATTGTCAAACGTCTAGGCTTACAGGATGGCGGCGCTGACCGTCCGACGTACACGTTTTCGCATTGAAAACGTCGGCTGCAACCTCTCTAATAACGGAAAAAGAAGAGAGAAGGACCGCGAAGTGAAAATGTAAAAATAAATATGAAATTGAGTTGATAACATAATCGAACAAGTCGAGGCAGCTTATTGACGAGAAATTCGCGGTCATCAATGCCAAATAATTGTTTTCATAGACTTCGGAAAGCTAAATGTTGTAATTAATTTAAATAATTTAGAACTACTGGAAACGCATCTGCATGGTAAGCAGGAGTTGCGGGTTCGTGTCCCGCTCCGGACCGATTTTTTCTTCCAGTAGGTCTAAATTATTTAAAATTAATCATTTAAATTATAATTATAATTGTTAAAGTTAATATGAAATGGCGCCTAACGTCTATCTCTAGTGCCAAATTGGTTTATAATTTATGTAATAGCCGTAAATAGCCCGATATCATTCGGCAGTTGTTGATATTTAGATGCAAGTTAAGTTATTTTATTTGCAATCGATCTTTTTAAGAGGTTTGTGACTTTGGAACAGTACGATGAGTAAAAAAAGGTCTTCAGTTTGGATTTACTTTGAAGAAAATGACGAAGATTCGCGTAATGTGCAGTGCAAAGTATGTGATACAAAAATTTCTCGTGGAGGTAAGGGGAAAAAAGCTTCGACGTCGGGTTTGATAAATCATTTAAAGAACAAACACAAGGAGGAGTATCAGAAAATACATAAATCTATCTCAACGAAAGAAAACACAGCGGATGATGTCGTTCCCTGTTCAAGTAAGTCCACAAAGCAATTAACCCTTTACGACTGCCAAGAAAAAACAAAAAAGTGGGATATAAATGACCCTCGGGCTGTGAAATACCATTATCTGATTGCCGAAATGATAGCGATTGATAATGAACCACTGAACATAGTTGAAAGATCTGGTTTGAAAAGATTGTTAAATGAGATCCTGCCGAGATATGCCATACCGAGTAGACCGTACTTTTCAGAGAAAATAATTCCTGAACTTTATGGAAAAGTAGTAACAAAGATTAAAAAAAAGCTTGAAGACACAGATTATATATCAATCACTACCGACTTGTGGACGTGCTTGCAAAACTCTGTCAGTTTCCTCAGTTTCACTGCACACTGGCTTGACAGAGATTTTAACTTGACACATGCTGCACTTAATGTAAAACACTTTGAAGGGCAACATACTGCGCAAAATATAGCAAATGCTCTGCAAGAAATACTGAGCCGGTGGGAATGCCCTTTATCAAAAATTCACGTCATTGTTCATGACAATGGGCGCAATATTGTTAAGGCTGTCAGTGAGGCTAAAATGAATTCTGCATGTTGCTTCATACATACACTACAGTTAGTAATCAAAGACTCTCTCAAAATTCAACCTGAGATCGGAGAAACTATTGCTGTGGGACGAAAAATAGTAACCCACTTTAATCATTCGAGTACTGCACAAGAAAAACTGAAAAAAATTCAGGAAGAGCTGGGAATAGCCAAGCATAATTTAGTGCAAGATATAACAACACGGTGGAATTCTACCTTTTATATGTTAGAAAGGCTTCTTGAACAAAAACGAGCTATTTCCCTCTATCTAACTGATACAGTAAACATATCTAATCTGACTGCAGAGCAGTGGGAGATTGTAGACCAATTACTGAAATTATTAAAGCCATTTGAAGAGATAACAAAAATTACTAGCTCAAACTATTCATGCTTATCTGAAATTATTCCCCATGTTGTTACTCTTAACCGCTACTGCAACAAGGCCGTGTCTTCTGACCTAGCACCTAAATTAAAGTTTATGGCGATCGCCATGCAACAAGGGATAAAACAACGTTTTTCACAGATTGACGATAATAAAAACTACCTGATATCAACTTTGTTAGATCCAAGGTTTAAGACGAATTTCTTCACGAACCAACTGCAAAAAGAAAGAGCCCGGCAGTACATTCTGGTTGAAGATTTAGTTTCAGACTATGATACCAGCAGCGATGAAAGCGTGCGTTCTTCTCCCGTGCAGTCTAAACGTAAAAGAACCGATGAGCCTGGACAAAGCATTCGCACATCTTTCTGGGAGTGCTATGATGAAGTAGTTGCTGAGAACTTTACCGATGATGACAACGGAGTCGGAATAGCTTCTACATCAAAGAACATCATAGCAGGTGACCTTGATAAGTACTTAAGCATGAAAACTTTAAAGAGAAACGACGATCCATTTGCCTGGTGGGCTACACATAAATCTAAATTTTCCCAATGTTTAGTCAAACTGGCTGCTAAGTACTTATCAGCTCCTGCAAGCAGCGTGTATTCAGAGAGGCTTTTTAGTGAAGCAGGAAACGTATACGAAAAAAAGAGGAACAGACTTCTTCCCAAAAATGCGGAAAAGTTGATTTTTCTGCACCATAACATACCACTTATTGACTTCAGTTATAAGAAATAATTTTGTACGATGAAATAAAAAAGTTAATTTAATTTACAGTTTTATAATAAAAGATGATATCATAAAATTACAGATCATTAATTATTATTTTTTCACATTTTATGACCTAAGTTTCGATCTAATGTGCCCACGCAGTAAAAGTTTTCAAATAAATTTTTTACTCTTTTTAACTTCTTTAGGGTTTAATTTCGTAAAATCTTTTCTTAGTACATCCAAACTTTTCAAAAGGAACACACCCACAAATTTTTAAAATTCTAACATCAGTAGTTTTGGATCTGCGCTAATTATCCTATCAGGACTTGTTCTTTTATATATGAGTATATAGATTACTAAACTACATATTAAGTACGTAGTTTTCATTTAATTTGTTACCCTTTTTTGATCTCTTAAAAAAATAACTTAGTTATATTACTTTTCCTTTGATCTTTTACATAAATAAGCAAAAAAATTGCGCTTTCTCGATCTTAAAATGTATGTTCAGCATTGATAAAAGTTACCAAAATGATTAATTTACTGTGTTTTGTTATTTCTTACTCCTGTTTTTAGGTATTCGGTATTCGGCCGAATAGTGATTAAATATTCGGTATTCGGCCGAATAGCAAAAAAATAGGCCGAATACCGAATAGTGGCCGAATATTCGTTACATCACTAGTAAAAAGCTTAATTTAAATAATTGTGGATACCCCTTTAGCAACTAATCAATCGCTACTTAGATGTCGGGAAGTCTCTGTTCTTGAAAGCCATTGGAGGAGCGTTATTCAAGAAAGACGAAATACGAATTATTTCAGTTGAATCTTTTAGATTCAGTTGGATTTCAGATGAAAGTTTCGGTGTTCAATATGAATAGTGAAAATAATTCAATTGAAAATAATTTAGTAGACAGCGAATTATGGAAAACATTTCACTTCCAAAATAATAAGATGATTTTGACAAAAGCTGGAAGGTAAGGGATTTTTTAATTATAATTAAAGGCCAATGTAATATATAATAATAGCTTTTTTTTAATTTTATATTTATGCTAGAATAAGTTAGATCCGTTAGTTTTTGGAAATATATATTTTTTGCTTTGTATAAATATTAATTTTACAGGAGTTTTATTTATGTCGCACTTGATAATACAGTATATACAATTAATATATAGTTTACAAAGTCGAAATCTTTTTATCTAAATTTTAATATTATACATTTATTCCAAAATTTAATAATTATTTGATAAAGTGGATTATGTTTTTAAATTAAAGATTTGCCTGCTTTATAGCCTTTGTCTCGTATAAACCATTCTACTTTGTTTGGCATTAAACGAACTTTTTAAGTGTTTAATATAAAATTATTATTTATAAATTTTAAAATGTCGTGTTTACCATTTACCATGTATTATAAATTAATTTTCTGCGTTTAATTTTAACGTTTTCTTGTCAATCTAAAATGTTTACCTTGTTAACCTACCTATATTTATCATGCGTAATCTTTATGTAAATTTAAATGTTATATAAATAATATAGGATTTTGTCTACAAAAATCTTCAGTATAAAACAAACTCCAGTATATGTATTAGTTTATTAATTTAATGGATTGAAGTAAATAATATATAATTGAGTGCGCCACCGCCCGATAAGCATAGAGATCTTAATCTTATCTTTCCTCTTACTAGTTGTGTAACGCTGTATCGCCGTTTTAGTCGGAGCGAAGCTGCTCGCACCTTCAATTTCTATATTATGAGGAAAATACAGCGTTTTAAGGGGATTATTGGAAACAGATTACCATAGATGAAAGGTCCCTGATAGCTATCGAATTTCACTAAAATAAACACAGGAAGAGCTGGGGGCAACCATTAGGAGCATATATATTGTAGCATATAGTTTTTAGTAAATCCTTGTGCCCATAAGTTGACTCTCGGCATGATTTCGGCATTAACTGAGAGATTAAAATATTTGGAGAGACCAAGAGCTGAGTCATCTATAGACGAAGGTAGGACAATATCTGGGGTGTTTTCAGATGCTATACAAGCAACAGGGCACCCATTTGACTGCAAGTAGTCTTCGTTGCTTTGTTTAACTCGCTCGTTTGTTGAATATAGCTCTACTGCCGTTTGGAACTAATCAAGTTTATAACGTTGACAAGGGATGCATGAAGTCAAGTGTTACTAGACGTTCGTTACAATATGTTTAACTGGATTTTAACCAGGCTTTTTGAATTAAGGACGAAAGTAGAAATATTTTTAGTAGATAAAAAAGTCCTCTAAGAATTCACTTGTGTAATGTAGAATGGGTTGCAAAACTAGCACATTTAAGTGATATATTTTCATGCATTAACGATTTAAACTTAAGTTTACAAGAAACTGCAATAAATGCGTTTCATTCATTTAATAAAATAAGTGTATTTAAGAAAAACAATTGTTTTTCGTTGGATAAAGTTAAAAATAATAATATTGATATATTTAATAATTATTTTGAGTTTGTTACTTCACAGCAAGATATAAACTTATCAAAATTAAATATAATCATTGAGCGACACTTACAATTCTTAAGTAATAGTTTCGAAAAATATTTCCCATCTGAAAAAAACCACATGTGAAAGGAATCTGTGGATAACAAACTCTTTTATAATATATGACAGTAGTAAATTAGATTTAAGTAACAGAGAATATGAGTCCATCCTTGAAATTAGTTCCAGATATTATGCTAAAAACTGTTTTCAACAATGTCTATAGATAAATTTTGGATCAAAACGAAAAATTAATATCCATTTCTATACGAGAAAGCGATGAAAATGTTAGTCTCCTTCGCAACAACATGTTTGTGTGAAGCGGGATTTTCAGCTATGACGGCAATAAAAAAATAAATTTAGGAATCGACTTTCAATAACGTTACCGCTCGGACTCAGCTTGACTAATTTACAACTCACAATTAAAATTTAATTGAAGAAGAGCAGCAGCGATCTTCTCATTAGCAATGTACCAAATAAACAAAAATTTTAAAGTTATAATTCTTAGTAATCACAGGATTGATTTTTTTTGTTGTGTTCTACCTATATGCAATAAATATGTGATTTTTTAAATAATTTTCTACGATTTTTTGTTGTAATTTTTGTCAAAGATTTATTTATATAAAATAATTCTATTTACATTTAAATATTATTGTAAGTAAATGATAATAATAATTTTACAACTTACTTCTGTAGTAATTTTTTAATATCTGTTTTTGTTACAACACCATTGGTCCGCAAGCCAAAAAAGGTTGAGAAGCGCTGGTCTAAAAATGCGATGTTAAAAATGCTGTCTTTTATCCACAATAGATCTTTTATAACCGATATATTTTCGTGTATTTTGAAACCGTGTTTTCTTTTATCTGTTTTTATCGTCACGACTTTGGTGCATAGTTAGACACTGGGCATTTCTACATCATCTTTATTCGGAATATCCTATAGGTCGATACGCGTTTCAGGCATAAGCTCCTCATCCGTCGGCACGACTTCCGGGATTTCTTGTAGGTGGTGTTAACACGTATACATTCCGTTTAAAATTACTTACGGTTAAAATACCATTATAGTTTAATATATATTCACAATTACAGTTAAGGTTTCTTGACTTAACATCGAACATCTAGCACAGTGTTTCTCAACGGGGGCTTCATTATCGCCCCATGTGGGCGTTTTTCCATGTTGAGGGGGCAATTAGTAACAATTTATATTTTGGGAGGCGAAAAAAAATTTTTTGGGCGATATAGTTAAACATTATATTAAGAATAATTAGATATTTTATTCGTTATATCGTACAATAATTAAACAAATAACATTACAGTATTCTAGTCACTAGTCTATTCAATGAAGTACGAATTTGGCGTTAGCCTTGTCCCTCGGCATCGAAATTTTGTAGTGAAGGGGGCGATACTACGTAACGGTTTTATTGAAGGGGGCGACAATTCGTTAGAGGTTAAGAAATATTGTTTTAGCACATAATCTTGACTTCCGTTTTATCTCATTCTGTATAATTTCGTTCGAATAATGAACGAGATTAAACGGAACTTTGTTAATACGGAAGTCAAGAGTATGTGCTAGATGATGTTCGATGTTAAGTCAGAAAACCTTAACTGTAATAGTACATTTAATTGTGAATATATTTTAAACTATAATGGTATTTTAACTGTAAGTAAGTAATTTTAAACGGAATGTACGCGTGTTAACACCACCTACAAGAAATCTCGGAAGTCGTGCCGACGGATGAAAAGCTTATGCCCGAAACGCGCATCGACCTATAGGATATTCCGAATAAAGATGATGTAGAAATGCCCAGTGTCTAACTATACACCAAAGTCGTGACGATAAAAACGATATATTTTAGTTGATTTGATCTTAAGAAATAATATTTCCATAAAAGCAGATAGCCCTTCAGGACATTGGCAATACAACCAACGAACTTCTGTGTAATAAGAAAGATCTTCGAAAACGGATTCTAAATCTTTAAGAAACGAAATAAATTGGTCATGGTTAAGTGCTCTCGGTCGAATAAAGTTGACTGTCTTCGTAACTGTTTTAAATACTTCGTCCATTTTTAATAATCTTAAACACAGAGAACTTGTTGATGAATAAGGCAATGGATAGCCCTGATTTTCGGTTTATCTAGATCAGTGTTTCTCAACCTCTAACGAATCGTCGCCCCTATCGCCCCCTTCACTACAGAATTCCAATGGCGAGGGACGAGGCTAACGACAAATTCGTACTGCATCGAATAGACTACTGTAGTTACTGGTATAATGTTATTTGTTTAATTATTGTACGATATAACGAATAAAATATCTAATTATTCTTAATATAATGTTTTACTATATCGCCCGAAAATTGATTTTTGCCCTAAAATATAAACTGTTGCTAATCGCCCCCTGAACGTGGAAAAACGCCCACATGGGGGCGATATCGCCCCCGTTGAGAAACACTGATCTAGATTGTAAATTTTCTCGTCAGTCGTGACACAAATCATTTAGTTTCAGCGCAATCAGTTGTTATACAGAAACAAGTTTGTCGAGAGGAAGGAAGCTTACAATTTTCTAAAATGCTCCACACGGCATCAAAAATATCTTCACCAGTTGTTGTTAAGTGAAGAAGGATAATTTCCAACAATATTTCGGTAATCCTCATTTTATTATCGCAACCACGAAAAAAAACCAGCAACACCTCTTACATCCGTGCTTTCATCAATCGTTATTCTGTATGCCACTGTATTTCTTGATAATGAGATATCTCGAAATGCCTGTACCTTTTCTGGACAGACGAATTTGGCACCATTTATCATACATTCCTTGATTAAAGAACCATCGATGAATGACTGAATATTTTGTTAATAGTTTATTTTATTATAGCTTATTATTAACTTGCTCTTGTTACTGATATATTACTTTCCATGAATTCTGTAAGCACTCGTTGCTGGCTATTAAGTGAATTCTTCATTGTTTTTAATGTTTCTTCTTTCATTTTTTATAATAAATTTTATATAATTTAAGAATAACATTTATTCTTTGCCTAAGGACTATTTCCTTTATTTTATTTAATTATCATAATACCAATCAACTGATTATTCTTAGCGAGAAAGAATAGTTAAGGATACACTGGATTAAAACAAGAAATAAAATTTATATTTTAATTTAAACTTTATAATTTTATTTCATTTAAAATCAAAAGAAAACTTAAAGTAACATTTGAGTCGATTTTGAAAGTCCATTCTAAAGAAAAACTTGAATACTTTTAAAATCTGTCTTATCTTAACTAAGAAATAGAATTATGTGCATACAACCATAAAATATCTAGCAATAAAATATATTAGACTTTCCCCACTTTCAAAATCACCGGATCATAAGTGGAACCCACACTGCTATCTTCAACAATGTTGATAAGTAAACAGCGATCTGTTCTGTGAAATTTTCTTCCCGGTTGGATGACCATCAAATTACAATGCTATTATTTTCTCGTAGTGTACGAACATAGTCATTAATTACATTATTTGTTATGTTGATTTTTATAGAACATTTCACCAAGGAAGTTATTAAGTTTATTATTATTTAATTTTCCCTTCTTCTTTTTGGATTTGGCACGTTTTGTATTAAAATATCTGTTTTCTCAGCCTTTAAAAAACATAGAAAATTTATTTTTCGGAAATAAAACAGTTTATCTATCGCTTTTAATAGTTTTTTTTATCAAATAATCTACCTACATAATTACATAATCAAATATTGTTCAAATGCAAATAGACGTTTATTGAATAAGAAAGTAATTACTATTTTTAAACATTGGAAAAGTTTTACTTTAAAAGAACTACAGAAAAACCTTTTTTGCTTTCTCTAGGAGAATGTTTCCGGTCGTTCGACTGAGAATTAAGTGTCTCGATCCCAATTCTATGTACAATGTAGCATTAGTGTTTGTTTCCATAGATAAACACAAATGGAGATATATGAACGGATTTTGGTTCACTTCAGGACCCGCAGAACCTCAACCATCACAGGACGACCAGATGACGTACATTCATCCAGAATCTCCAAACTTCGGAAGTCATTTGATGTCTAAGGACATTTCCTTTTCAAAAGTTAAATTAACGGATAAATGCAACAAAACAAATGGAGTAAGAAAATATTTACGTGACTCAGTTAATAGTTTCTTCATAATTTTCTATACGAATTAACTTTATTCTTCTATTTTTTCGCCATTAAGGCGACTTTAACAAATAAGAATTACTAGTAAACTTAATATTCTTTTTATTAAACAAATCGAAACTATTATTTTACTAAAACTTAGATACATCAATTCTTTTGTTATATTTATTTTATTAAAAAATTTAATAATTTGTCCACTAATCCCGAGACAAATCCAGTGATACATCTCAGTAACTCTTTTTTAAACCAACCTTCTATTTATAACTTACATTGGAGTAAAAACAACGGTTTTTTGAAAGTGTGTTTAGAAAATATCAACAAATATAGGTGGAGTTCATTTCCTAGAAAGGAAATATAAACTTTGCATATTTACTAATTACATTTTTTATATTCTTTTTATTCTATCAGTTATTTACTTCTGAATAAAGTGACCAGACATTCCGAATAAGGCAGACAGTCCAGCTTTTAACACGTGCAAGTATAGTTAGTGGTGGTCGTGCCGATCAGTTATAAAAGAGAGTGTATTTTGTAAATTATCTGAGTTAAAAAAAGCCAGTTAAAAAAACAATTAGGTCTACTGTAACTGTTCATTGTGGCTATTACTATAGGTCGTTATTTTGTAAACAAAAGTATATTTTACGAACAACCACTAAACGTTTTACTTAACACATGGATATTACTGATGAATGACCCACTTAACATTTCAGGATCTGGTCACTTTATTTATGATTAAAGAATGACAACATAAATCATTTATTGTTACTGCCATTTAATAATTTATACAAACATGAAAATTTTAATTATTCTCAATTGTTATAATTTTCAGATAGTACTTAACTCCCTCCACAAATACAAAACAAAAATCGTAATAGAGGAAGTACGACCGGGATGTGCTAACAGAGCAGTAGCTACGATTGATTTTTCTATTACTACATTTTATGCTGTTACTGCATACCAAAGTGCAGTAACAGCATAAAATCTAATAAATCAGGTAAAAAAACTAATCGGTGAAAACCTAAATAAACACATTTTTGAGATGATGAACAATTACAGTGATTTATAATCTACCTCGCAGCTAAAAGAATTTATACTGTGGCAGAAGAAAAGCATTTCTTGTCAACAGCCACTTAATACATAAGTATTTACTTTATCATTCTGCGCAATGGCGGATTCAGAAATCTTTTTAGAGGAGGGTGCAGGAATGAACACAGTATACTTCATGTAATTTTTTATTACCTGATGTATTTGACTTTGCTAAGGGGGAGAGAGAGGTGTGCCTTACATACTCCCGTAAATTCGCCATTGGCTATGCATAAACTTTACTGTTGAAAACATGAAGAGGAGACTATTAGAACATATATCTTTATTTCAGTAATTAAGTTAAAAAACTTACTTTACTGTNTACCGTAAAGAACTGTCCATCCCCCATGTTTAACGGAATAATATACAGCCTATGTCCATCCTGAAGTTCCATTCTAAATATTGGTGAAAAAATTTTTGAAATCGGATGAGTAGTTTTGGAGATTACCTGCTGCATCCAAACTTACTTACATACGAACATTACCTCTTCATAATATTAGTATAGATAATTAGTTTATGTATACGAAAGAATATACGTATATGTAAATACGTACGTAAAGTGGCAGCACTGTGGATCCGATAGTTCGACAACAAAGAACCGTTAAAATAATAACTTAAAATCAAAATTAAAACAATTTACGACAAATATAATATACTAATACTTAAATATCATAAGGTAACAATAGTATACTATCAAATAGTACATTAATTTGACTTAAAATTAAATTAAATTAGATAAAATGGCAATTAATTTAGAAGTCGATACCGTAAGCGAAAAAATACGAATTTTTTTGGTACAAAATACAAGTAAATAAAATATATACCAAATAAAACTACACATACTTTCGTATTTGCATTATTTTTTTCATACTTCTATTATAAAAATTTGATTTTATACGAATTTTTTAAAAATTTTAGTGAATTGACCTTGATAACTTATGTTGTATATATTCTTCGTGTAAATGATGTGTTAAACAACCACGCCCTTCACTTTTTTTCATATTATAGGAAATAGTCATACAACTATGTAATAAAAATATTGTCACACATGTCTATACTGTACCATTATATAACATGCAAGGTTTTTATGTTATTGTCAACCTGCGTTTATGTTAAATCCTACTTACCAATGTCGTGAAACTCGCCTTGTTTTTTGTAATTTTAACAGCACTAAAGAGGGGTTGGGAATACAAGCCAACACGCAATGCATCTGAATTTTTAAAAAAGTGTTCTTTTAAATACAGTAATACCCCGAACTTACGNGTTCTAATTTTTAATATAATAGAGCCTGGGAAGCCTATTCCTACCAAAATGATACCGGTATGCCATGTAAGTAAAGACTAATATTTCTATTAGGTTTTCTTAATTAAGAAATTAATTTTAAATATTATGCATAAAATAGATTTTTTCGACTGGAACGACAGATCGGGTGTCTGTAACCCTCAACATTCACCTTCAAATTTGACAAATGAAGAACAAGGTGTTTACTCAAGTTACACATTTAAACTCCGTAACCCTCAACATTCACCTTCAAATTTGAAAAATGAAGAACAAGGTGTTTGTCCAAGTTACACATTTGGACGAACACCTTGCTTAAATAATTACAGATGCTCAAACGGTATGACATTTAGTTATTATTAGTTTATTGTTTGTAAGAGTCTCTTCCTTGTGTGTCTTTATCAGGTCACCCTCATGTGAGCAAACACTCGGCGCACTATAATTTAATTTACGAATTTTCAACTAGTTAAAGTCCATCTTTATCCTCTGTTCGGTAGTTTTCTACTACAATTGGTTTTAAATTTGTCTTACGATTTGAAGTTCATCTTGTCATTATACAAGAAGTAATTCACGTAAAATATGAACGAATAACGAAACAAGTTAAATGTGATAACGTAACTTATGTTCTGGAATGGAGCATTATTTGTTTGCGTAATGAAAACGCAAAAAAATTTCATAAAATTTTTTAATTCAATTCTAATACAATTTTTAAAAGAAATATATTGCTTTTAATTAATAATTAATTGCTTTAAATATTTGTACAAGGTTGTACAAGTGTACATGACATTCATTTTTTTTCTTTCAAAACTAAAAATTTTATTCTCATTGTAACAAAATTGTCATTTCTGTTATACAAAACAAATATGAAGCTAGGTTGGTTCAGTGGTTCCATTCTGACAGCTTTGGCTGACCCAAACATTTGGTAACCCTGAAATTTGTATGCATTAATTAATAAGGTAGATCTTAATAAATGGAAATCTTGTATAAGTAAGTTTCAGTGATGTCATTGTCCATCAGAGTTCACAACATCAAAGTGAATCGGAAATTAAAAGCGACATTTTTATACTACTGTTAAATGTACAACGCGAGATGAAAAACACACATGTGTTAACCAATTAAAAAAATTTAATTTCACAATAAAAATAGATATATACAGATTCCCGCTGTTCCTTTTACACGTTTCCAACTATTCTCGGTGATCGGATGTAACAGTAGTCCGGTAGTTAACTCCCGTTGTAACTATTGGCCGACAATTATACTTATCTAACGCGTGCAAATCTTAATCTAACTTAAAACCAGGGCTGTAAAGTCGGAGTCGTGGAGTTTATGTTTTAGACTCCTTTTTACTTACGAACTTGTTATGTATATAAAACGGAAAAGTATTGGAATCGTGTCAAATTTACTCTCCAAGTTTTTTTTGCAAATCTACACGTTTGGAAACCTCCCGAAACCCTCAGAGAAATCAATAAAGGAGAAAAATTCGAGCGAGTGTATGTGTCGACGTTTAATTTGTTTAATTTTTTTATTTTCTGTTCTGAGATATTTAACAATATTTCAGAATGGGTGAAGTTTAAGAAACGAAATATGGCACTGTAGCTTGCGTATAAAGGGACATTAATACTATTTAATTTTGGTTCCTAATTAAAGGTCGACAGGGTGAAGACATAAACGAGGTCATGTGTCATAGCTCTTAAAATGAATATTTTACTCGTTACTAGCGTTCAAAATTTAAAAAATAAATAAATAAATCTCGTCTCTACTCTCAAAGTAAGCTTTTTTGCCATTTTATAATAGTATAGTAAGACCCGNGTCCGGTAGTTAACTCCCGTTGTAACTACCGCCCGACAATTATACTTATTTAACGCGTGCAAATTTTAATCTAACTTAAAACCAGGGCTGTGGAGTCGGAGTCGTGGAGTTTATGTTTTAGACTTTTTTTTACTTACGAACTTGTTATGTATATAAAACGGAAAAGTATTGGAATCGTGTCAAATTTGACCCTCCAAGTTTTTTTGCAAATCTACACGTTCGGAAACCTCCCGAAACCCTCAGAGAAATCAATAAAGGGGAAAAATTCGAGCGAGTGTGTGTGTCGGCGTTTAATTTGTTAAATATCTTTATTTTTTGTTCTGAGATATTAAACAATATCTCAGAATGGGTAAAGTTTAAGAAACGAAATGTGGCACTGTAGCTTGCGTATAAAGGGACATTAATACTATTTAATTTTGGTTCCTAATTAAAGGTCGACAGGGTGAAGACATAAACGAGGTTATGTGTCATAGCTCTTAAAATGAATATTTTACTCGTTACTAGCGTTCAAAATTTAAAAAATAAATAAATAAATCTCGTCTCTACTCTCAAAGTAAGCTTTTTTGCCATTTTATAATAGTATAGTAAGACCCGTTAAGATGTTCCGCCTAAAATGTTAGAATGTATATGGGGACATGATTTAGTTTAACCACTTTGATGCGTAATAACTAACTTCTGTGTACTCCGATTCCAACCGCTCTGACCACAGAAATTATTAGACTTCAAACAGAGTAAACAAAATCATGCCCCCACACAGTCTAACATCCACGCATATAGAAAAATCCTCGAAACTTTTGCATCTCAAAATGTCAAGGTGTCCCGAGTCCAAAAATGTAAAAATTTGGGTCATTTTATGACCGAGCGCTACACTTTTCCTCTGTTATATATAACAGCCGGAAAAGTAAAAATTATCGAATACATATTTATATATTACTTAGAGGAGNGCCTAGTATTTAGATCACACGTTCTTTATTTGAATTCGGAATACAAGTCTATTAATTTAAATTTTCTATATTATAGCAGAGGAAGTGGAGAAAAAATGGAAGGTACCGTACAAAGGGATAGATAGCCTGTATGAGAGGAAAAAATTAATAAAATTAGCACTGTTGGTGGCAGTGGTGTTTCCTATTCGGCCAGAATTTTTACGTATGTGTGTTCTGGCATAAAAGCGTAAAACAGAAACTGAACTGAAAGCTGATTTCTGATTCAGTGTTCTGCCACACAATTTTACGCATGTGTGTTCCTGGCCTAACTCCGGGTTCGCGTAAGTCGAGGTAGCGTAAGTCGAGGTATTACTGTATTTCACAGCAGCAAATAGAAGTTAGAGAAGTTCAGTCAAACAGTCATAGAAATAACGAGAAGCAAGCTCACAGCACGTGACTTACGTTTACACGTAAGTTGTAAATGTACAGTTAACAAGTCTATTATTTTAGACAGATGGTTGAATATGTTCGGATTACAAGATGTTCGGAAGAACACGATTAGGATTAGCGCGATCTTACAGTAATCGAAAATTTTCTAAAGAGATATATAATAACAATGGAACTGAGTAAAAAATTTGAATCATATGCTTTGGAAAAAATTTAATTTAAAATATTTATTGCATTCCTACGATAAATATGTAAAGAAACATGAATTTTATGGGTCAGGATCCACATAGCAATAGTAGTCCTTCCCATTGCTGCTGAGGCATCGTTCTCCATAACTACAACAATCGCTGTCGCTATCACATGGTTTAACTAAATTGTTGCATCTATATAAAAATAATTCAAATAATAAGTCTATATTATTATTTTTTTACTTAATTAT